CCCACCCCCCCACCCACCCCATTCTTCTCCAGGGACTCTGGTTTCCAAAGAGACCAGGGTTGGCCTGCAGGGGTGCACGATGGATTGATGATTGATGGCTATGGGGAACAGTCTCAAACTTCTGACCCTGGCAGGACTCCTTCAGGTGAACTTGCACCGAGGGGCTTCATGCACCCAGCTCAGGCTGAGATGCTGCGCCAGAGCCCAGCGGCTCCTGCTCGCAGAGGACTCCCACCTGGCCCAGTGGCCGCCTCCGCTCCATGAGAGCATCGGGGCACCGAGGCCAGCCCGACAGTGAGGAACACCCAGCCATCCCTGGCAGCACGCACTGAGCCTCGGGGCCCAGGCCTGGGCGGGGTGAGGCAGGGTCAATAACTGAACAGTCAGCCAGGCTGCCCAGCTGTGCTTCTGAGCCAGGTGGCCTCAAAGGGGAGAACAGCCACGTGTGAGTGCCACCAGCGGGGAGCCCGATGCCTGACCCATGCCCACCCAGGACTGGTGGCCCCTTCCCTGCCCCTTCTGAGTTCCTGCCGGGAGGCTGGCGGGCAGGCCTGGCTCTCCACCCTGGTCTGACATACCAGGAAGTGGCCGGTTGACCAAGCCAAGAGCTCAGAGCTTCCACAGCCACTCAGGCAGGTCAAGGCGAGAGCGCCCCGCTTTCAGTCACCCAGGATGGGGTGGGAGGCGGGACGGGAGGCAGGACGGGCCTCCAGGGTGCTGCGGAGGTCGCCAGAAGCTCCAGGGTGCTCCGTGTGGGCTGCGGCCCGTCTCGGATCACCTCCCTCCCCTTGGCCTCTATTTTCACGTCTGTAAAGCGGGAACTGCCATGCCCTTCCCAGAGGACCAGTCTGCAGGAGCAGTATCAGGCACGAGGGTGGACTGAGGCGCCCTGCAGGCAGCCAGTTGGTTTAAGGGAAGAGAGGGGTGGAAGAGCCCACTGTCATCCCGCCTCATCACTTGCTGGCCTATGCGCAGTAAGGGAGACTGAGGTCTGCAGTGAGGAAGGGTCCCTGTGGGTGCTGGGGCCAGGATTCCCACCCCATCTCACTGCACCTGTGGACTCCCAAGGAGCTTGGCGCTCAATAAACACACCTGGCGCCCAGGGGAAGCGGCAGACAGCCCAGACCCAGCCGAGCACAATGCGCGCTGCAGCACTGCCCTCTGCCGGTGGTGTCCGGAACCACAGCCTCCCCTGGTGAGGACGAGAAACACGGGACCGGCCAGGCAAGAGGCCTTTCTCCAGAAGATGAGCAGCCTTTCCAGAACCCACCTCAAGGAGCTCCCTGAAGGGGGCACTGGTGAAGGGCAGGGACAATTAGCATCAGGGAGCTCAGCTGCTTCCAGCTGGCTGGAGACTTTCTGGGGATTGGGGCTTCACTTCCGAGCTGGCCCTGGAGAGGCTGGTGTTGACCCCTTGGAGCACAGAGGCAGATGGGCACTAAGCTGGGAACTCTGATGGAGGGGACCATGGCCCACCTCCCTCCCTGCTTCCATCCCAGCACGTCTCCTGCCTCGCCATCCACCTCTCACCTTCTCATCAGGTGTGGGAGAAAACATCTTTTCCTCCTGTGGGTGCTTGGAGAAGTCGAAGGGGTAGGACACCACCAGGTCACCCCCGTGCAGGCTGGCTGACAGCACGAAGGGGATGGTCCGCATCCACTTCATGATGGCCTTCGTCTCCGGGGCCACCTGCCCAGGGCAGAGGAGGTCGCCTAAGGGTTGGGCGTGGCCGTGCCACCAGCCTGGCCATGCTTGTGGGCTTCCACAGCCTCTGGCTCTGGTGACCAGCACGTGTTTGCCAGGGTGAACGGACTCTGTGAAAGGTCTTGACCCAGGACCATGGTCTGCCAGAACCCAGTGCTCACCATGGAGCACCGCAGGGCCGGAACATTGCTCCCGAAGCCCAGCAGCGCAGCGCACGGACAGGAAACAGGCTTGGGGAGCTGAGGCCCTGCCCTGGGGAAGGCCCCGCCCTGGGGGAGGCCACCACCTGAGGGTGCAGACTAACCAGGAGCCCCTCGAAGCCCCCGCTGCGGGGCTGGGCCCAGGCGGGTGGGGCGGCGGTTCCTACCTTACCCCACCAGTAGTGCTGCGGAATGGGGATGTGGTCACTGCGCACCCCGCGGGTGGCAGCCAGGCGGTAGTACTCGGAGGTCAGGTCGGGGAAGTTGCGGTTCAAGTCCAGGTTCTGTGCATTCTGCCTCCCGCTGGTCCACCCGTTGTAGCCGGCACCCTGGGAACGCACGCCAAGCCCCAGCTCAGGGTGCCCGGCCCACTCTGCTCCTTTCACAAGGAGGCCGGGGGCAGGGGGCTCAGCTCCTCTGTGGCTGGGAGATGAGCTCCAGAGCTGCCTTACCTCCTCTCTCACCTCCTGATAGCCCCTCCACCAACCTCAGGGCCTGGACCAGAGTGCCCTCCGTGTGACCTGTGCTGCCCGTCCCCACCACTCCCAGGCTCCACTCTCACAACGCCTCCTCCAAGGCCTCTCCTTTCCCCAGCTAGTGCACGCCCACGTGGTTAACTCCCTTCTAAAAATAAACAAATGTACTGGGCCAGTAGATGGCAGCATGGTTACATCACTGGACTCCCACATGGCCAGACGCAGTTCTAGTCCTGGACCTGGCGGCTTGGAACTCACAGCAGGCACATGTGCATGCATGCCCAAAATCCTGAGAGGGGATTAGAGAAGGGATTGCGGTGTGGCCTTTCCCCGGGGGGATGAGTTCTCCTTTTCTGTCTCTCTGGCAAGTGCGCGCACCCTATAACAAAAATCTCTCTTACCAAAAAAAAAAAAGTGAAAAAAAAAAACCACCACTAATTCTCCATAACATGAATCACACTTTTTTCTTCTTCTCTGTAGATTTTTGCTATAGGGAATATGCACTCACTAGAGAGAGAGAGAGAGAGAAATCACCCCTGGGGGCATGGCCAGCAGCGATTCCTTCTCCCCTCTTCTCTTCTCCCTGGGGATTTTGGGCACACACACACACACCCACACACACACACACACCTGAGACTCAAACCACTGTCCATCATGCGGAAGTCCAGTGCCTTACCGACCATGCTGCCTGCTGGCCCCCATGAACCACACTTTCAGTCAGAGGTGCCTGCCCCTCTCCCAGCCCCTGAAGCAGGACCTCGCCGATGCAGTCGCCTGCTGAGCCCCCATTCCCGAGCATGACGGGCAGGCACGTCGCTAGCGAAACCAGAGCAAACCCACGAGGGAGCAGCACTGAAGGCAGGGGCTTGCGCAGCCGGCCTCACCTCGGCGGCCGCCACCTCATAGCCGTCCGGGTTCATGGAGGGCAGCAGGTGGACGCGGGTGGTGTTGAGCAGGCGCTGGATGCGGGGGCTGCCCAGCAGGTACTCGGAGCACAGGTACTGGGCCAGGTAGATGAGCATCTCCCGCCCCGCCACCTCGTTGCCATGGATGTTGCCGATGAGCTTCACCTCGGGCTCCACTGCAGGGAGACAGGCAGCCTGGGGCATGCTCGCAGAACACAGGGGCCCTGGAGGGTCGAGGGTCCCCCAGCGGAGGGGGCCCCGCATAGGCTGAGACTGAGCCTTACCTCTGGGTGCTGAGGCACCACGGCTGCTTTCTTTAGCACCGCTGTGTTTGTCTTACATTCAGCCGTAACTAGCCTCACGGGAAGCTTTTCTTAACGCCCTGCGGTATCCCGGCCCACGTGAACCGCACCGCCGGCCACCTTCGTGTTTGTGTTAAACCGAGGTGCGTGCGGGGGCCCAGCCTGGACGGCGCTGGCCATCAGGTGAGTAAGTGAGAGGATGGGTGAACGGCTGGGCCAGGACCTGGGCCCTTACCACCTCCCTCCAGCCTCCCCACGAGTCCTAGACAGTGTCACCACCTCCCGTAAGCCCAGATCTCAGCACATACTTTAAATTCCACCTTGGTTTTGCATCTCCTCGGTCCCCACTGGGTCGGTGTCTCCAACACCATGAATAATGGGGGGAATCTTCCTTTCCAATACAGTCTACATGCCTTTGTGGGATGTGGCCGTGCAGCAAGCAGAGCCCCCCACCCCGGCCAGCTCACGCACCCCCAGGCCAAGCCCAGCCCTCTGGGAAGCGGAGCCAGGCCCAGACCCCTCACGTGGCGCTTACTCAGCTCGTGCTGCCCAGGGCGGCTGGAAAACTCGATGACCAGCAGCTCCTTGCCGTCGAAGCTGCGTCCGATGCTGTAGGTCTTGGCGATGTGGGCGCAGCGGGCCGCTGTCCGCTTCAGCACACGCACCATTTGGGCATAGGAGTGGTGGATGAATTGGATGAAGGTCGGCGGCAGGCCTGATGGCAGGGCCTCCTCGGCCTCCAGGCCTCCTGGGGGAAGTTTGGAGCCTGGAATCGGCCTGGTGCCAGGGTGCACTCGGTCAGTGCCCACCACCTACAGCTGTCTGCCCTCACCTCCCTCCCCAACCATTGCCTGGGGATGCTGACCAGTCCCACCACCCTCAAGCCCTCCACTCACTTCCCCAGTCCACCCCAGCTTGCCACTGCACGGCGGTGACTTGGGGGTGAGATTCACAGGTCTCCGTTGGGTAACTCCGCCTATCTGTGTTTCCACTTTAAATTAACTTCCCTTTATCAACCTCATAACAGTAGCCATAACAGTAGCACGCGGTACGATGCGTGGTTCCCAGTGCGCTGTGAGTGGGAGGACTGTGCAGTCGCTCTGGAAGCTTTCTCAAGGACAGAGCAGCGGGATACGAAGGAAAAGAGGAGACACACAGCCCACTCTGTACCTGCGAGCTCCCCTCCTTCGATTTTAGCTGAGAGTCAGAAGCCTCCCTTGCTGTTGGGACCAGCAGATGGCGTAGTGGCTATGTTGCTGGACTCCCGTGTAGTTGACCGGGGTTCAAGTTCTGGACTGGGCGGCTTAAACTCACGCCCGGCGTGTGTGTGTGCATGCCTAAGATCCCGAGAGGAGAATGGAGGAGAAGAGATTGCGGCGTGGACATCCCCCCCTGTGGGGGGGGTGATTTCTCGCTTTCTATCTCTCTGTCTCTCTCTGTCTTTCTGACAAGCGCACGCGCCCTATAGCAAAAACCTCTCCACCCACGCACCCCAAGAAAAAGAAGCCTGCCTTGCTGCTGCAGTGTCCTGAGTAGCTCTGGCTGTCCCTGAACTAAACATGCGCATGCTTCATTTTTCCTCGTCACAAGTCCTTAAGCATTACAACGCAAAGCTTTTCCTTTTTTTTCCTAGGGCCCGTGCACTTGCCAGAGAAGAGATAGTGAGAGGGAAACCAAGAAGTCTCTCCCTGGAGAGGATGGCCACGCCACAATTCCTTCTCCTCCATTCTCCTCTCAGGATGTTGGGCTCAAACGTACACGCGCCCAGCCACCAGGTCCAGGACTTGAGTCCTGACTGGCCATGTGGGAGTCCACACACCACCTGCTGGCCCCAGAGCGACTATTCACACAGCGTCCACATTGTATTGGGTAATATAAGTAAGCTAGAGATCGTTTAAAGTGGTCTGGGGGGTTTTGTCATTTATATGCAAAAGTTATGCCATTTTATGTAAGAGACTTGAGCAGCTACAGATTTGGGTATTTGGTGTCCTGGGGGAGTCCTGGAACCAGCCCCCATGGGTATATGCCTACAGGACGCTCCACCCAGAGGAGAGCGGTGTCTGACCCTCCTGTCTGCGGGTGTGTCCTCACTCAGTCACGGTGCAGACGCGTTTGTCTCGGCCCTTGTTTATTCAGCGTCATGAGTAAACAGTGTCAACGCCGGCACGAATCCGGCCAAAACCGTTTCGAAAGGCTCCTTACAGTCTACCGTAATTACTTCCAAATGTCTGCTATTATCCTAATACAGCAGCGGCAGCCCGTACCGGAGAGGAAAACGGAGGAAGGGCACGGGGGTGGGGGGTTCTGATCTGGGAACTGATCTTCCCAGCTCAGCCTGTGAGCCATCTGCCTTTGCCCCCAGAAAGTGCCCTGTGACTCTCAGCCCTACCGCCCACCACCAGGAGTCTCGCAGACCTGCCCACAGGCAGGATGTAGGTGCCTGCAGGCTGGCCCCGGAGACCACAAAGGGTTAACACGTGTCTCTGCATCTCACTTGCCCTGTGGTTTTGTTTCTGCTCAAAATGGTTTTCAGGGGAAAGAAAGCAGATGGAACCTGCAATTTGGGAGCAGAGGTGCCCAAAATAATCTCCCTTGAGCCGGCTCCTGGGGCTTTCCCAGGGTAGTCGGGCTGGACCGTGGCTCCAACTCCCTTCACTGCAGCCTCGTCCCCACCACCCAGGCCCTGCCTCGGTGGCACCGAGAGCCTCTGCATCACGCAGGCAGCTCCCCAGCCCTGCCACCCCGCCGCATCTGCACAGAGCTTGGGGCGGACGGGTCAGTCCTTCTCAGACAAGGTGCTCGAGCCTGCCAGAAGCCCCAGGACCAGGCCTGGAGCCCAGGCCTGCTAGAGTCCAGTCCAGACAGGCTCCTAGATGCATGTCTGGTCCCCTCCCTCCCACCCTTAATGTGCAGCCGGAGTCGCGTACACAGCAGGCGGCCAACAGCTGTTTGCTAAAGGGACGGGTCAACCCACCCACGAGTGACAGGCCTGGCCACTCAGGCTGAAGACTGTGCCCTTTCTGCATTCCGGGAGGCTCCGTCTCCTGTCTGTGAAACCAGGGTCGCAGCTAAGGCTCAGGTTACTGTGAGGCTGATGAGAGACGGTTCAGGTGTGGCCGGCAGCACCACCCCGGGAGCCGGACAGCCCCCCGCACTGCCCGGCACAGCCCACGTAGGGCTGTTGTTAAGTTTAAATACATTAAAATAAACGCCAGGTCATCAGTCACTCCAGCCCCATCCCAAGTGCTCAGCAGACGGGGACTTTCCTGACAGGGCTGCTGTCTCGGACCGCTCAGAATGGAACACGACCAGTCACAGGAAGTTCTAGCTACAAGCCGGGCTGCCGCAGAGCATGCTGGGTCTCTGGGGACCCTCTCCTTACCAGCCGGAGCGGACAACAGACTTGGGAAGTGAAAAGGCACCCCCACCCCCGTACTGCTGCCAAGCAGCCCTGTGGGATGGCTCAGCACACCCCAGGGTCAAGCTCACACCACCCAGGCTCCCGTTCCACCCCCACGGCTTGTCTATCTGAGAAACAGTCTGTCTCTCTGAAGCCCCTCTTCCCACTCCCGTGAACTCCCAGCCCCCAGACCCCACAGTGAGGAGTCCTTTCCGGCCAGAACCCTGTGTGCGAGCTTTCAGGCCCAGCCACAGGGAACGACGAGGCTTCCCCAGCAGGCCTCGGGGGAAGCGGCCCACCCACCCCAGATGAGGCGCACGGTGCTGGCAGTTCTAGTGGGGGCCGCCCTGAGGACTCAGCCCCCTGGGTCAGCCAGGCTACACCCAGATCTGCATTCTGAGCCCAAGCAAGCCGTTCTGTCAGCCCTCAGACCCCAAAGACGCACCAGCCACTTGCTAGGGACCCACGGTGGTGAGATGACCGACACCTCCATGTCCTGCAGCTGCTCCGAGTCGGCAAACCCCACTGGGTGCCTTCTCTGGGGGAGCGTGACCCTGGGGAGCCGGCCCCTCCTTCGCCTCTTACCTGCACCATAGCCGTTCACTTTAGCCAGGCGTTGGGACACCTGGCCCATTCTCACCACTGCCCCCCAGAGGTTAGCGGGAGTCCCAGAGCCCCCCGCAGGCTTTCCCTTACCCCGAAGCTTCTCCAGGGGGTCATAGCAGCCTTCCTCCTCCCGTGCGAAGTAGCGGTGGCAGTCGAGGAAGTAGGGCCAGGCCATGTCGATGGCGTCGAAGGCAGGCTGGCAGGCCTCTCGCAGACCCTCGCAGACATGTCGGCAGGGTCTGCGCACCTGGCCGCCCTCGCACCGGGGGGCCACCACGGCGCAGCCCAGCAGGCGCAGGTCGGGGTTGCACTGGCCCTCCAGGAGGTGGTGCAGGACGCTCAGCAGGACGTACTCAGAGCTGGACTCCACGGCCTCCCGAGACCAGTGCTCCAGCAGCGTGGGGAAGCTGGTCTGGTTGTAGGCCGCGTCGCTGCAGGTCCTGAGCTGCAGGTCTACACAGGTGGCTGGGGACACAGGGTCAGCGGGTCATTCCTCACGAGCGCCCACACTGTCAGATGCTCACCAGGGGCCTCCTGCCCACGCGGACCCACCCCCGGCCAGGGCCTGCAGGGGCCCCTCACAATCTGGCAGAGGAGAGGACTAGGACAAGGGCTACTTTGGAGGAAGCCAGGGCCCATGGCAGAAGCAGAGCAGACTGGGCTGACTACCCACTGTGGGGCAAGCTGGGGCAGGTGGCTTTGCCTCGGCCCCACAGCTGCAAAACGGGAATAGCAAAGCCTGCCCTGCTGAGCGAGGGCTTGCCACAACGGGGTGGCAAACAGGGCCAGAGGGTTCCGTGACAGGCAGAAGCAAGTGTGACCCCCGCCCCCGCCCCACTGAAGGCAGCCTCAAACCTAGAAGTCCCCAAAGATGCAGCCCGAGTAGTTTGAGCTGGACAAAGAGAGCTGAGGCTTGGCCTGGCCTATCCTGCGTTTTGCAGGATGTTTTAAACACAGGCAGAAGGAAGCAGGTCTTCCCGTCGCTGGACATTTCTGCGCTTGGTCTGTACGGCTCTTTTCCAGTGCCCAGTCCCATCCCTGAAGGTCCCATCTGCCTCCAGACCCGCCGGTGCAGCCTGTGTCCCCGCTGCTGTGGGTCCACACCTCCACCCTCACCCCAAATGGCTTGTCCTCTTGTCTTCAGCCCCTGACTTTCCAGATAAACACAAGCAAGATTTTGCCACTTTTCCATGTCAAAGTCCAGAAAGCATTTTGTATATCATCGACTTTGGTCTGGGGCAAAGTTTTTCTGGATGTTTTTAAAGTCTAGTCCCTCCACCTAGGATGTACTAGACGCTGAATCCAGCAGGGAGGGACTTGGGGAAATGCATGCCTGTTCAGGGAGCCAGCCTCGTCCTAGCCCTGTCCTGAGCACCTCGGACATGCCACATCCCAGGTGAGAGCACCACATCGCACCCACGTGGTACAAAGGAGACGGGGGCCCCATGACAGAAGGGATGCGTGTCCACAGACTCGGCGGGCGCCTGGCACTGAGCGGTAGGCAAGAGAGGCTCAACGTGAGAGGCAAGCTGACACTCGCTCTCGAGGCCTGACCACAGCCCATTGGGAGCTGAGCTGCAGGGGTGTGGAACGGAGCAGAGAGGTGGAAGGAGGGGCAGGGAGACAGCTCTCAGAGGCTTGGGCAGGCGGGAGCAGACTGGGCAGCCCAGCCCCACAGAGCGAAGGCCCATCCTAGTTTTGTTACATTCCTCACGAGCTGTGTATGAAGGCTTGGGTTTGACTAGCGGGCCGAGTTAGTGGTTACCCATGCTGGAAACCGGGATTCAGCTCTCTAAAGCGCTGTGTAAGCTGGAAGGGCTGCAGCACCCCAAAAGCAAACCCGAGGGAGGGCCAGTACTGTACCGCGGTCTGCAGCTGATGGCCGGCGGCATTCGCCTAGAAAGAAAGAGGGCAGCGGTGTCAGGGGCCTGTCGCTGTCGTTCACCGTCTCTTGAAATGTGTGCTGAAGGCCCACGGCGCATTCGGAAGGGGGCCCACCCTTCGCCGAGCGCTTGCTGGGGACCCAGCCCTGTGCCGCCCTCTGCCTGCCCTGTTGCACCGAGTCTTCACAGCAGGGCCCTGACGCAGCAGTGCAGAGCCCCATTTCTCATGGAGGAGTCTAGGTCTCAGAGAGGTCAGGCGACTTCCCTGAGAAAAGACAGCACTCGGCCGTGTGGGATAACGGCCTCCGCCCGGCTCTGCAGCCTGGGACCGACTGGCAGCGTGCTGCTAAACCACTCGCTCTCTCTCCAGGACAAAACAGCCCTGCCTGGAAGCATTTGCCAATTGCTGTGGTGTAAATACTTCTACCATGGACAGTTTCAAGCTTCTGGTTGCTTACCGCCTGGCTCTCCTGAGATTCCTGCGTATCTAAGCAGCGGCCCTGAGGAGCTTGTGCCGGTGGGCTCCTCCAGGCCACTGACTGACCCTCCTATCCAAGCTTCTCCACGAGCCAGGAGAGCACGGAACACTGTAAGCTGTGGTGTGCCACCCTCTCTTGAGTTGAAGAACCTCCTCCCGGAAAGAAAAGGATCAATACACACAAATATCATTGCAATTGTGGGGTTTCTCGAAAGTCCAGACACGCGGACTCAACAGTAAGGCCAAATAAACCAAGCTTCGCCTATCAGAGGCAGGTCCTTGGGGCCTGTGAATACCTCGAGGGAAGAATGGACACCACAAGTGGGTGTAAAGCTCAGCCGGCCTTGACCAGGCCTGCCAGCAGTCCACCTGGCCAGGAAGGGAGGGCAGGCTGGGCAGGGGAGCAGGTGTGCAAGTGTGGACACAGGGAGTAAGCGGAGAGCAGAGGAGGAGCCCAGTGAGAGGCAAGAAGCAGGATGGGACCAGAGGCGAAGGCTCGTGTTCTAATCCCGTCACTCACCCAGGCCACGAGCCTGGGCTGCAAGGCTGGGAAGGCATGAGGTGCTTTGAGGAGTTCACCTTAAACTGTGGGGTCATGGCAACATGGCTAAGCATCTGTGACTAATCACCAAGAGGGGATGGATGCAGGAGGGTGGCCTATGTTCCCAGGCGGCTGGCCAGGTGTTGCTTCTTCCAGGAGCTTCTCGGCACTCAGTTCCCCCTGCGGGCTCCGAGAAGGAGAGGGCAGCTGTGGTCCTGATCCCTGTGCCACCGACATACACCACTGTCATGGGATGGCGACACTCGGGCCACCACCTCTCCTCCAGGTGCTCACAACTCATTCGGCTTTCCACCCTCCTAACGACCACAGAAGATGCACACGGTGCTTTTACAGTGTGGGACACGGTGTGTGCGGCGGCCAGGGGGAGATGCCTATGGCCTCGGGGCTCATGCTTCCTCCCGTCCAAACGACAGGGAAAGAAGACGTGGGCCGTGGCAGCAAAAGGCTGGTCATGGGCAGGAGGGTGCCCAGCACAAGGAAGATGCCCTTTGACAGGCCACTGCTCTGTGCCTTTCTTTTCCCAACTTTTAATGTTTATTCATCTATTTCTTCCATGAGAGAAAGAGACAAAGAGACTGCACCCAACCCCCCAACAGGGGCTCCATGCCAGGGTCTGCCCCGGGTCTCAGCTGGCTCAGATCAGGGGCACCTGCTCAAGGAGGTCCTGGGATCCGAACCCAGAACCTCTTCCACACGGGCTCAGTTGCATGACTACTGTGCCACCGCCAGGTCCCCGCTCCCCCACGTATGTTAGTCACTTTGCAGAGACATGGTGAAGGTTCCACGAGAGGCCACGTTTAGTGCCCAACTCAGGACGTGACACGGGGAAGATGCCCATAAATAACAGCATGTGTCATTCCTGTTACCCTCTACGACACCCGAAGACAAGGAGTGGAGGGGTTCCTGCTTTTCTCACACACCGCTTGGGGAAAGCAATGGAAAGGAGAACACCGGGCAGTGGGCCAGCTAGCCCTGAGCCACCAGAGGCATCGAGTGCCCACCCACCTGCACCTACGGATGCCCCCTGTGCCCAGAAGCTGAGGCACAGCAGAGGGGGGACTGCAGCCAGGCACCCCTTGCCCCACTCCCAGTTCATCTGTCCCACAGGCTGTGATGGTGCACCTGCTGGGTGCATGGCCTGCGCCGAGCACAGGGGCACCTAGAGACGCGATCGGACACTCGGCAGGCCTCCAGTGAGTGGAAGAACTAGCTGACCGGACCCTGGGCCTCTGCTGGAGGAAAGCAGGTACCCACTCCTTCAAAGGCACCAGGGGGTGCAGGGAACCGACGAGATTCCTTCTGGTTCCCATGGCTTCAAGTCTCCCCGGTTTGCAGATGAGAAAGCGGAGGTGCAGGGATTAAGCACATCTGTGTGCTTCAGCTTCCTCGTCTGTAAACTGGGAGAGGAACAGTGCCACCTCGAAGGCTGGCATAGTCCCGTGAGGTGGTGCGAGAGTCCCGAAGTGCTCAGCAGCCTAGCTTGGGCATAGATGGGTGGGAAGAGAGACTGCCCCTGGGCCCTCCCACCGGTCACACTGCTCAGAGGCTTACGAGAAGGTGGCAAAGTGCCAGGTCTGACTTGGTCACCCGCTGCTTCCAGCGTGGCCGCCACGTGTAAGACAGCGATGCCCTAACAAAGACCACAAACCGGGGGCGAGGGAGGGGCATGGAGCTGGGCGGGGTTGGAAACAGCAGGAGCAGCCATCTCACAGCCCTGGAGGCTGACCTGAAATCGAGGTCCAGGCGGAGGACCTGAAGTGCTCCTCCTGAAGGCACCAAGGGAGGAGGCTTCTTGCCTCGTCCAATTCCCGGTGTTCCAAGTGTTCTGGGGCCTTCTTCCCAGTGTGTCTGCCTATTCCAAATTCCCACTTCTCAGGACATTAGGCCTTGGCCTTAGGGCTCACCTAATCCAGCAAGACCGCGTCTTTTTCCGAGTCTACCTGCAAAGACTCCATTTCCATGTAAGGCCCTAGAGCCAATACTTTAGTGCTAAAAGGGGAGAAAAATAAATTGCAGGGAGCTAAGATTTGTGGGGGACACGGTTCAGTCCACAGCAATGAACAAACCCCAGTGTGTGCCATGCTGGCCACAGCGGAGCCAGGACAAGATAAAGGAGGGGCCCAGAGCGGTGATGCAACCTGCCGCAAGGCCACACAGCCTGTCACCCAGCCTGGCTTCTCCATACAGCAAAGGGCCAGCGGACTCAGGGGCCACGCTCTCCTCCTCTCAGCGCCTGCGCTTGGGGCCCCAGAACGCTGATGCCAGGGACGCCAGGGCTGGCTTGTTTATTGGCCATTGCTGTCACCCACCTGCATGACACATCCGGACACACCCCAACACCTCGATTACCCTAGGCCTTTGAAACACAGAGCGAGTGAAAGACTGAGAGGTTCTAGAAGGATCTGAAACCACACTATACAGTATTGCAGCCATGGGCCACACGTGGCCTTTGAGTGCTTGGCATGAGGCGAGCCCAAACCAACACGTGCTCTAAGTGTCACATAGGCTTCCAATTTCAGACTTAGCTCAAAAAAGAGTACAACATGTTACAGGAGCAATTGGGACAGTAATGACAAAGTATTGGAATAGTTTGATATAATGTGTTAGATAAAAGTTTTCTTAGAGTTAATCTCACTTTGTTTTATTACCTCTTTAGTAAGGGCTACTAGAAAAGCGAGAGCACATATGTGGCTGGGTATGTACTAGGCTGGTTACTAGAAAATGTGGCGTGTGTGTCGCCGGGCGCTCTGTGGGCCATTTACACATAGCTGTGATGCGTCCTGACCACCAGGTGGCAGCATTTCTTCAGCCGAGGGGTTAAGATGGCCGTTGACCCATCAGAGCCTCTAATAGATGAGAAACAGGAATGCGGTCAGTGAGGTCAGGCCATCTGCCCAAAGTCACACAGCAGAGTAGAGAATCAAAATTTGAACCCAGGACCTAAACCCTAGGAATACAAAAAGCATGCCAGGCCCCAGGCTCCAGTGAAAACCCAGAGTCTTCTGCCAGGGACAGGAGGCGGCAAAGGGGAGGAAAGAGCCTGGGCTTGCTGTGAGCCCTCTGATGTACGAGACAGGGACCCGGCAGCACCTGGATACAGAGCCTGGACTCACTGCCCAGCCCTGCCCACCTCAGCCTTCCGTCTGGAACGGGTTCTCGACTTTCATGCTCCTCTGTCAGGCAAGTGAGACTGGGCGAGAGAAAGGATTTATTCTTTTTTTTTTTTGGAGAGAGAACTTTTTGCTATAGGGTGCATGCGCTTGCTAAAGAGAAACAGAAAATGAGAAATTACCCCCCGGGGGGATGGCCACGCTGCAATCCCTTCTCCTCCATTCTCCTCTTGGGATCTTAGGCACACACACGCCCGGTGGGTTTTAAGTTGCTGGATCTGGGACTCGAACTGCAGTTGATTATGTGGCAGTCCAGCCAAGTAACCGTTACGCCATCTGCTGGTCCCAAGGAAAGATTTATTCTGGAAACACTCACGATGCCGCTGCTGTGCTCAGCACCAGCCGGGACGGGAGATCAGCCTGCCTGTGCTTCTAGTCCTCCTAGGTGAGGGAGGGGCGGCCAGCGCTGCCCAGAGTCCAGGGGAGGGGCTGCACTGCTCCCTGGGAAAGGAAAGTCAGGGAGAGCTTCCTGCAGGAGGGGGCTGTGCGCCTGGACAAGCCTATGATTCCAGATGTTTTCTGGGGGGGTCAGGGGTCTGTCCATGACAGGGCGAAAGTTCCAGCAGCACCCCCGTGTGCACTTGTGTTCTCACACACACTAACACACGTGTGCACACGCTCTGCCTAGCCTGGAGTTTCTGCAGAAAGCGGGGAAGGAAAGAAGAAATAGGTGAGACGGGGAGAGCCAGTGCTGGAGGCCAGTCCAGGCTGGAGGGAAGGGAAAGGGGGTGGACATCGGTAGACTTGAAAGGAACGGTTGTTCCTGCACAGTTCCTGGCCAGCCAGGGAGGTCTCGGGTATCCACAGACCCAGACGCTGAAGCTCGTGAATCTGAACCAGAGGGGACCCAGCCCTCCAGGAGCACTGCCGTCTGCTGGGGAGGACCCCGAGGGGGTAGGCTAGAAGCACCCTACCTTAAATTCTCAGGGGAGCAGAGGCCCCACTCCTGGAGGGGAGGTGTGGCAGGACCCCACCCAGGACTCCAGGACCCCAGCTTCTCCCCACGCATCCTCCCACACGCTGTGAGGACTCCCTCAGGGGAGGTGAGCTGACACCTCCACAGGGGGCTGTGGGCTCCGTCCTCTCCCCACCTCAGCTGTCTCCCAGCCTTCCGGACACTTCCGGGGCCATTGCTGTCCACACCACAGCCCAGGGTTGGGAGGGAGGGGCCAAGGATTTGCCGCAGCCCAAAGGCAGCCCAAAGGCCACCGGTTCCTGGAAGGACCGGGAATTTTGGATGGCCTCTTGCCCTGAGAAGTCCTGCTGGCACCGCCAGTGCCCTGGCCAGCAAAGGACCTGCCTCCTGGTCCAGGCACAGCGACGGTCATCTGTCCCCACGCTCAGCCCTGGGGTCTCGTCCGGGACGTGCTCAGAGAGCTGAGTGCTAAGAGCCCTTCCTACCTGGCCGAGGTCACTGGAGACACAGGTCTTATGGGCACCGACTCTGGGGACGTCCCCTCCAGGGCCACAGGCTCGTGACCAGCGGAGAGAAAGTTCCCAGGTCCCGGGGCCAGGGCGTTCTACCGTGGGATGGCGCGGGGAGGACCGGCCTTACCGGCGGGGTCCAGAGCAAGCTCGCACCCGGGCCGGGCAGCGGCAGCGGCCAGGAAGGCAAAGAGCAGCAGCGGCGGGGACCGCATGGTCGGCGAAGCGGCGGGGCGCGCAGCGGCGGGCGGCGGGCGCAGTGATGTGGCAC